GACTGCTAAAATTTATTGATATCTACTAATTGCTAAATGTTCTGCTAAACATGTTTCATGTATGGTTTCACATATTACATATGAAATATTATAAAGCAGTATGATTATTACATTTATAGATGTGAAATGGAGCTATTAGGTGGTGAATTCAGGGTTCAAATTTGAGTGAGCTAACCAAAGTCCAGTAGGCTATACTTTTGTAAACAACATGTACCTGAGTTTCTAAAACATACATGTAAGCTTTTCTTTCCTTAGCTAACTAAGTATATTGGCATATTTTTAGAAAAGATTTACCCACCAAAAAAATCACTGAGATAAATTTTTAAGAGACATGCATATTTATTAATAAAAAATTAATCATGTTACTCTAATATTAGGTTTCCACTAATTAAGTTAAACTATTTTGCCTCACATAATGAAAAAAATCTAAAAAATTATGAAAAAAATATATAGTTTTGAATTGATTATACTTTTTAATACTCATTTCATATTAAAGACAATATATTCTTTTATGGAACTTACAAAAGTACCCTCAAAATGGAAGTAAAATTGAGATATATATGCAACATATCTCCATAACAATTGGTTTTAGGTAGATTAATGAACATGGATTCAAATTAGGACTCATTTGTGAAAGTTTTGAAATCAATACTTGGATAAGACATTTATGTAAGCTTCAATTGATAAGACCAAAGTTAAGTGTTCAAGAATGGACTATTGATCCTCCATTTGACTAAGAAGGAGAACACTCTTGTAAAAACTCATTCAGTTGCCATATTACCATATCACTAATCTTTAAAATGATACACACAGAAGTCATTGTAATTTATTTGAGAAATACAACTGAGCTCAGATTAACTTCAACATGAATAGATACATGACTACAAGTTTGTTTAAAAGTTTATACCATATAAAGATTTTTTTAAAATGGGAATAAGGTTGCTCTGAAAACTGGACTCTATCCAACTATCTTAATAAAATAAGAACTTACAAACTTACTATATCATAGAAGTTATTTATTATTTATTTTTGCTTATGTTGGGTTGAGATTTTTTTCCTTTTAATTGATAAAAAGATATAAGAGGAATACATTTAATTAAAATCATGAGAATCTAAAAAGATAAAGCTTGTTTACATTTTTAAAATAAATGCATTATTTTGACCCTTTTTGTCAACAATAATATATTAGCATGTTAGTTTTGTACAAAACCTTTTGTTAAGAAACTAATTGAAGAAAAGTACAGAAGATATATGTACTAGGAAATATTTATGACTTATAACCTGATAGTAATTCTATCTAGTAACCTAGGAAATATATCCTTACTCAGTTCACAGTCAGAAATAATATGTTATTTTTATTAGAAAGGAGTAAGATTTCGGCAGTATTTAAAATTAAATACATTTCTTCTTTTTCAATAAGACAGATTAGTAAATTAAAATAAATTAATAATTTTAAGATTATTCAAATATGAAAAATTCAGAGATTATTTGATCTAAACTGGTTTAACAAAAAATTATAATCCTAATTAGATGTAAAAAATTATAAATTTACTAAGAACTTTTTTGTTTAAATTGGAATTACTAGGGACATAAAAATATATTTCTTATTAGTTAAATGAGTTTTATTGATTCAATTATCACATATCTTGTCTATATGTTCTTTTTTCCTATATCATGCTTGTATCACATTTATATCCCAAATTTTTACTATTAGTTGTATTCTACCTGTTATCTTTTCAATTTTATGCTAAAATTATATATCTCCAATATTATATACCAATTTAGAAGTAGATAAACTAAAATTATGGTGTGAAAACTACCTAGATATCTGTGAGTTGTATAACTCTTCTTGATGAAATAATTTTGGTGGAATGATGTCCATGTGAGTAAATGGGAAAGAATTAAGGTATCTGGTTCATATGCCGAACTTAACTTGTATTTCTTGTAAATTTTTATTTCTATACAACTGCATCAGAAAGTTTTCATATATTAAATGACAAGATTTCTTGACATAATTCAATAATATTGCATAGTACAAATACTTTGGTAAAAAATATGTTTCTAAAAAATAACAGTTTGCATTTCACTCACAGACTTCAAAACCAGACACAGAGAATGGTTTTAAATAACTGTGTATTATTTGCTCATCTTATTAAGTGTATGGCTCACATTCTGATTAAGTCAAGAACTAAGACTTACCATGAACTTGATTTTCTGAGTATTTTTCATTAAAACTGTTGTAATAATATGGTTATGTTTGTCGGTCTAAAGCATCTTTAATTCTAAACAAAGATGAGAAAAGCTAAAGACTACAAATATGTGATTTGAATATATTTATATTCTTAAAAGTTGACATCACAGTCATTACATTTTTAAAAGCAGAATTATTTTTTCCAAGAACCATTCAAAGTCATAAAGTATGATGTAAGTTTTGTTTAGTGAGTAACTATATTGATCCTTTAAAATTATGTTCATTTTCTGTAAAGGTCTGAAACAATGTACAAAAATTATTTCTATCAAAATTTAAACATAGACGTGAAATTGATAACAAATTATTGCTATGTGGGTTCCAAATATGATCTAAGTTAGAAGTATGGAATAATGTTGTTAACTAAAGTTCATTTTGTTTTGTATTTATCTAATAAATTTTAAACACCAATATGAAGCATATAAAGTAATATTTTGTCTTAATAATATTTTTAAGTTTTTACTGACATTTATTTCCAATTTTCATTAAAATCATAGTACAGTATATACAGGTGCATGTAAATATTCTTATATGTTTTAAGATGTAGACTCTATTTAAACCCGAATATATTTTTTAGGAATCACCAGTGAGTAAAGCGCACATATCTTTGCCATTCATTTAAAATAATTTTTAGAAGTTCAGATCCAGTTATAATTTTTTCAGATTTTTCTGTTTTCTGCTTTCTTTCAAAGTAAATGAATCTTGATATCTTAAATTATAAAATAATGCTTTGGCATGTGATAAAATACATTAGAAAAAAAAAGATCTTGAAACAATAAGCAAAAGCATATCTCCTAAAAATAGAATATTTAGGTTAAATCTATTTTAGCTCTCATTGTTATAGAATTTCTCAATTCTGTGTTTCATTTTACATATTTAAAACTAGTAGAAGACTTTATGTATTGATTTTATGACGCCATAGGAAAATACCATCTAGAAAAGTAAATTGACTTTATGGATAAAAACATGCACTAATACTCTGACATTCAATTTAAAAACAACAAACTTAATTATATGAAAATATGAATGCTTATTTCAAACTTCCAGTTATTTACTCAAATAATAAGTCTTTTCCTAATGACCCTCAATGTTCATTACATATGTTTTTCAACAATATTTTGGATAGCAAAGATTATGAATTATACTATTAGTAGAGATATGTATATTTGATTAAATTATGCAAGAACATTATGTCTTTTGGGTTAACAGTTAAATAATTATTAGAAAAGTTTGAGGAGTTACTTTATTGTAAAATATGGTATTAATGTAATACCACCTTTTAAGAACATAATCAGACTTAAAATAATGCTGTTTTAATTTTTGTTACTAACCACTAACATTGGGTTATTTCATGTGCTGTTTCCAGTTCTTTTTTTAATTATCTCAAGACTAAAAAATCATATTCTAAAAACACTTCTCCCATTTCTACACATGTGTCAGGGAACATTAAAGTAGAATTAAAGATTGAATAGAGGAGAGAAATCAGCCACAATACTTTTAGAAATCACAAATATAAAATTAATTAAAGATTCCATTATGTTAAAAAATCTGTGGGAAAATCAAGTAAAAAGTCACCAAGAAGTTAGTCAGGATGAATCCATTGTCTACTGTTACTGTGCCAGACTATGAGTGATTGAGCCCAGGATGCTTCCAGTGAAGGACAACTCGTGGAACATAATTTCATTAAGGTAAGAACATGTATTACTTTAAAATATGCTAATCAACATAATTTAGTCCCAAATCTGATATCTCACTTTCTTTCTCAACAAATTTGTGAAATCTCTATACCAACAACTTACTACATAGACATTAGTTCCTTCTATTGTGCAGGACAGTCTGTACTGTTGGAAAGAGCATTCGCAGATGTCTCATCTCAACATTTCAGTAAGTTTTATTCTGGAAGTTCTTTTTTTAATACATAATTTAATTCTCTGTTTAATGACCCAATAAATTCATCTGAGAAAGTCCTGTTATGCTTCTTTATCCACAGATATCTCGATATCCTACCCTCTCCCCAAAATCTCCTAGAGGAATACTGGTCAAGTTCTTTTAAACAGTTTTAAAATTAAGAATTAATATCTACATTTAATTAACTCTAGGGTGCTTTCTTTTCCCTCTTTGCAATTCTCCCTTAATCCAAATACAACGGAAACAGTTTAGGGTTAACAAAAGAGATTTAAACACATTTGGCAGCAATGAACAATGAAAATTCCATTAGTTCAATACTAGAGGTACACGTTTAAATAGAAGTGAAAGGCGGATAGGAGGTAAATGTAATGAATCTAAATTAATTACTTTTAACTCCACCTGAAGTTTAAGCACAGAGTGGGACTCACCCCTTTCACTCCTTTCTTAGAACTTTGATTATATGGAAAGTTTGAAGACCCTTCCTGGGGGAGAAATGTTTTCCAGCTGTCATGATTCAAGTTCAGCTCAGAGTAGAACTAATTTTAAAAGGCATTGTTCCCTGAAAAAGGTATTTGTTCAGAAAATATGCCTTTTAATCCATTTAGATTTTTATTATTTGGTGAATTTATTTTCTAGAATATCACTGTAAATAACAATATGCAGTAGTAAATAAATTTTGTGTGCACTTTTGTTTAATATGCTGTGGTTTCTCTAACATGTGAAATAAATGAGACAGTTTCAACATTATTTCAATGCCACTTACTAAATTCTTGGTAGAAACACTGTGAAACTACATGAGAACACTACTCAGAATAAACATATTTATGTTGAATAATGCACTTACCCAGCACAGCTCCTAAGGAAATTCTTGGTGAAATAGCCTCAGGATGGAATTTGATTTTCTGAGATTCCGCAAAAGAGATTTACTCCCAGGCAAGGTGAGAAAGAGTGAAAGCCATGCAATGTGATCCTGCAGGCAGGGTGAGCTCTGGTTAGCAGAGCCTGATGGCCCAAGGCAGGAGGTGACACTCTGCTGGAGAGACAGGAGTTGTTCTGAGTAGATTAGAAGTGTTGTCAGATTGTAAGTGATCAGCAGCAGAAGGGAAACATCAGAGCTTCCTGTTACATCACTCTGACCCCGCCTGCAGTTAGTGTTAGGTTACTCTCTTTCTCAAATAGCATACCCCAGGAAAGGAGCAGCACTCCTTTCTTTTCTGAGACCAGAGCAAGAAGCAGCCTGAACAGACAGAGATCATATGCTGTATGATTACATTGTTAACCAGCAAAAGCTGGCTGGCTTTCACCTTGTGTGAGTTCTGTTAGAACTTGCCAAACAAAGCTGGCTGTGATTTGAAAGAAATCTGAATATAAAAGAATCAAAGGAGTTAGGAGGCTGTGTGTGTGTGTGTGTGTGTGTGTGTGTGTGTGAGTGTGTGTGTGTGTGAGTGTGTGTGTGTGTGTGTGTGAGAGAGAGAGAGAGAGAGTGTGTGTTTCTAGGTTGAATTAGTGTTTACAAAGCATCACAAGAAAAACTTTTAAGACATCTTTATAAAGTGAGCATGGAAAAAAAAGAAAACCAACATTCATCAGAATTAATTCTGTAATCCGACTCACTAATTTGGAGCACTGATAGGTAAATCTTAATCCTCAACATTCCCTAATTATGTCAAGAAATTTAATCTTGCAGCTTTTTAAACTTTTAAAAACTTTTTCCATAATGTAAATTTATGTGTCATAAACCAATGAGCATATAGAATGCATTATTTTTTCAAACTATATATTTAACAAAATACTAGAGAAAATATTTTTTTAGAATTCATAATTTTAAGATGATTGCACATACTTTAAAATATTTAGTATAACTCTCACTGTCTATGATGTAAAAATTATAATATTTTAAAATTTAAAGTAACTTTAAAGAAAACATGGTATTTTATCATATAACATTATAAAGTAATGCAAAATATATACTGAATTTAATTTTTAAGAAAAAAATCCCAAATATAATTATGCCCAGAATATGTTTAATAATTTGTTGAATAAAATCTGGGGAAAAAGTTTTAAACTTAAATGTACTTGTCATTTTTTTTTAATATAACCCTGTATAAGATGCAATGATAATTTTAACTCCTAAACCCAAACAATACTAAAAGTTCATTAATCTTGGCATCTCTTTCATCTATGAACTAGAAAAAAAAATATATCTAACAGTAGACATCCTTTCTGTCTTTAAGACTTTGAATCAACAAATTTCATAACATTTAGAAATATATCAGATGCTATGATGGTCATTCAAATTATATTGAATTGCGATCATAGGAACAGAGATATAGGAAAGTTATTGCAATTAAGGACCAAAATGAGATGCCCAGACTTCTTGTAGACTAAGAATAGAAGCAAAGGCAACTGAAATTAAAGAACATCATGTTTCTGAAATATTCCTGTTGACATTTTTATTACCTGGATCTATGGAAGAAAATTTATTACAGAATCTGTTAATTTTTTTTGGTATGTGTGATCAAATTTGATTTAAAAATACATATAAAAACATGGTAAAAACATTAAAATCGATATATAGTTGATAATTGCTATCAATTATAGCTAAGAGAGAAGACTTTTAGGCAACTGAGTTTATGCTGCTATTGTGGTTACTGGGATATAAAAAATAACCATATAATTTAAATTATCTAGTTTTATAGTATTATGTTTTGAAATAAGAGCTTACTTTTGCTCTGCTTTGGAGAGTCATTGAGCTATACTTCTTTTTAAGCTGTTTTACTCAGCCAATGAGGAGAAAATTCAGTGCTGCAAATCATTACTGACACCACCAGGACTCCTCAATCAGAAAACCAGTGTGTATATTGCTTAAGTGAAAGCTGTAGTGAGCTCTGATGTGGAGCTAGTACTCTGCTCAGGGAGCTACTAAGAAAGAAGTAGAAAACACTGGGGTTGGACCAAGAGACAAGAAATTCCAGAACTGGATCAGATCCTTTCTGGTGTGGTCTTGACAAAGTTTTATAGGCTTGGTGTTCCCACACTAAGATTCACAGCAAAATCAAATACTAGGTTTTAACATTTATGCAATCCTAGGCCTTGTCTTTGCATCTTCCATGGTAAGAATAGTATCTGAAACCTTGCAAAAGGATCAAAGTGTAGTTTTTGAAATTATTTTAAAAAACTAAAAAATAATTTCAAGTAAATATGTGAAATCAGTATTTCTTTTTTGCATTCATTACATTTGCCCAATAGTAGCAAAGTAAAATCCGTGCTTAGAGTTTTTGTTGGTAAGATTAGTAATCCAATGCTCTTTCTCCTCTACTATTTGTCAAATGCTATTCACAATGGTTGTAATCCATGAAGATCTTGGATAAATTTCTGTCAATATCATTCATACGAGAAACAGCAGGAAAATGACATCTCAATAATCAGATCATTAAGAGTTGGCATTTTACCATGAATGGTGTGAATATACTTTGTATACAACCAGATAGATGAAAAATTGTAATCTATATGTGTAATATAAATTGTAATGCATTCTGCTGTCATGTATAACAAATTAGAATAAAAAAGGAATGGAAAGGATATTAGATAAAACATAAAATAATTAATTAAAAGGATTTGGCCTTTTACAAACTACAGAAGAAATAATGGTAGGAGGACTTTCAGAGAGCTCATCTGAGTATACCAAATTATGTGAAAAGATACACGTGGAAAATATTTCAAATATACACTTAAACATGATTAGTGTTTTGAAAAAAACTGGCAGAACTAAGAAAATATATTTCAATGATCAATGAGGTGGGTTGAGTGACTAAGCCTGTATTTTGAGTCAGACCCTGTTCTAGTTGTGTTTTAGGGAGTTAAGGAAAAACAGAATGTGTCCTGCTATTTAGTCATTTACAGAATACTTGACAAGCACATGAGGGCTCAAGTGCCAGATTCTCTGCAATTAGCAACTGATGCTGCCAACAGAGGCTTCATGTGACTATGCAGAGCACTTTCAATAGGGTTTTCTGTAGGAGTGGAGAATGGTGCGAACAGCAATCACACATTTCCATTGCAGAATCCCATGCACAGGATTTATGCCTACCCTCATTGTCCTATATATACCTATAAGTGCCATCATTCCTCAATAGGGAATGCAGGCTACCATGTAAAATGCACTGGCCTTACAGTCAAAAGGATGCTAATTCAAAATCTCTGGATTACTGATTTGACAAAATTAATCAAATTAGGCCAAAAATATGGTGTAATTACTTAGTTTTTTATTGACTAAGCTGACCACTTATTTTGAATCCCTATGGCACAATTCTGTGAAAATAAGAAAAGCAAACAAAAACAAAAATGAAACACTTTTACATGAAATATATTATGGACAGGCCATCCCTGTGAAATTGCAAAAATAAGAAGTCAAAGAAAGCATTTAAAACAGAATTGTTATTAAGATTTTGGGTTATGATATTGTGAGTTAATAATTTGTTTGTGTTCTAAATAGTATGAAAGTCATTACTAATATCGGGATACTTAATTCACCTAATAAAAGTTTGTACACTCTGAATTATTGAAAATTCAGCAGTAGGGCTGAAAGTGTAGCTCAGTGGGAGAGAGCTTGCCAAGCTTGTGCAAGGCCCTGAGTTCAATCCCAAGCAAAACACACACACACACACACACACACACACACACACACACACACACACACCAATGACTTGAAGAGAAACACATAATACTTTACATCAAAAAATTACTCTAGCTAGGAAACAAGTTGGCCTGATCTTTTACCATTTTACCTAGCAATTGATGTTAGCAGTTTTTCACATTACTTCTCAAAGATAAATTAATCGCATTTGGTAAAGAATCTTTATCTAATGGCTAGGTCATTGAAAGATTGTGCTCTTGTCTATTACCAAAATCAAAGGTCAGCTTTTCACTTTAATTATGTATGCAACTTATCATTTTAAGGGAAATAATACTGTTGTTTTAAAAATATTCACTATGAAGTAAGAATTTGAAAATTGTAGAAAACTAAATATAAAATAAGCAGTCCAACCAGATACAGTGGTGCATATCTATAATCCTGTGATTTGGGAGGCTAAGGCAGGAGGACCTGAAGTTCAAGGTCAGCCTCTGCAACTTAGTGAGACCCTGTCTTAAAAACAACAACAAAAAAAAAATTAAAGGGCTAGGAATATAGCTCAGTAGTAAAGTACCTCTAGATTCAATCCTAGTACAAAGCAGGAAGGAAGAAAAGAAAAAAGGAAGGAAGAATAGAAGGAAGGAAGGAAGGAAGGAAGGAAGGAAGGGAGGGAGGGAGGGAGGGAGGGAGGAAGGGAGGCAGAGAAAGTCAATATATCTAATCCATATATAGTAAATAGAACAATTTTACTTGTCGATATGTAGTATTTTGTTTCCCAGCAGGGTCAAGTAACATCAAAAAATTGATTAAATGTTTCCTATTAAAAAAATTGCTCTTCTTAATCTCTGATGGGTTTGTGTCTTTTGGGGAAATCAGCATACAGATTTTTTTTAATGTTTGAAAGTTGACTATTGGTAGAATAAAGAACTACTACTGGCAAATGAAATATGTAATAAATCAATTAAAATGAGTTTTAAATAGAACAAAATTATAAATGCTTACTTTAAATGAACTTTCTGAGGTTAAACACTCTTTGGTAGGGTGATTGTCAGTCTTGGTTCTTAGGATAAGTCCCAATTTATACTTCCACATTCAAAAGTGTTCTGGTTTAGACAAAATTATGAATATGGTCATCTTAGCCCATATATATCCATAGTGACAAGTGGTAAATAAGTGCTTAGAGTGAGTAACTCTCTGGGAAGACTTTGATCTCCTTTGCCAGAGGAGTTTAAAATAATTCTTGCTATTTCTAAGATAGTTGTTAGTTCACATTTAAAAAAATGCTTTTTCATCTCTGGGTTTGAATTTTCTGTGAATTTGCTCTGAAATGCCTCTTATTTGCTGTATATTGATCTTGCTTTTGAAAACAAAAGATTGATTCAAATGAGTATTTAACACCTTCACTGAAGTAGCATTTAATTGAACAAGTCACAGTTTTCTTTAATAATTTAACCATTAGATTCAAAAGATCTCAAATGGTATTAATCTTGTTTTAAACTAATAATTTTATTCAACTATTTTCATAGTAATTGTATAATTTGTGAAAGTATTAGCCATTTATGTTTTTCTCTACTTTATTCAAAAACTTACTCATGTCATTTAACACCACTCTATTATA